CCGGCCCATTCAATTGAAAAGTTTTTGCGAAAATTTATCACCTCATTTTTCAGAGCGTTTTCAACTAATTTGTACCACAAATCTCTTTGGCTACACCTGAAGTCGGCCAAGCGAGTGTCAAATATTACAGAATTTCCATTCATAGTCAGGCCTAAAGTGTGCCCACTCTCCCTATCTCTCTTTCGCTCTCACTCTCCCACCCCGCTTCCTGCTCGGTCTGCTTCTTCCTTCTTGTCGCATTTCGAGCAACACTGGCATTGGCATACAAAAGATTGTTAGCAATCAACTCAAGCACCAAACTTTGATTTGTATGACCATAAATCGCACTTCATTTTTGATTCAAGCATACCATCAGCCCGACCCTCAGTCGACCTACCAGCCTCCCCCTACCCCTCCCCCGCACAGTTTTGTGGTTGTCTGTTCATAAATTTTGTGCCCCAGCGAACTTGGCAAAAAGTTTTCCCCGCTCAGACGCACACACACACTCGCACACACACACACAGACAGAGCATTAAGCCTTTGGCAAACAGTTTTCTTATCTGCTCGCCATGTGTGTGTGTGTGTGTTGTGTCTCTCTCTCTTTCTCCGTCTCCCTCTTTCTCCCTCTCTCTCTTCCTCTCGCCCTCTCTGTCTGGTTCACCCCTTGAGTTGGCATTTGCTTTTTGTATGGTGTGTAAACGTCTTTAGCTTGGCTTTTATAATTCTATTTCCGTTTCCGCAGCAACGGGGCAAAAAAAGAAGAAGAAGAAGAAGAAGAAGAACTTTCAGCTTGCTTTCCTCATATATTTCAACATCTTTTTTCCATGTAGACCATTTCCTGCGTCCTTTCTCCGGCTGCAAATCAAACTTTTTCACATTTAGTTGTGTGAACGAGTAACTCTCTCTCTCTCGCTCCCTCTCTCTCTCGCTCTCTCTGTGTGTGTACCATCATCATTGTCATCATCGCCATTGACGCAACTAGCTACTGTCCGTGTCCATGTCCATGTCCATGTCCGTTTACACTCATCCCTTTGCCCTGTCTTGCTGCTGCTTCGTCTTCTTCTTCTTCTACATATCGTATTCTTTTGTGCGCCAACGCTTTGACATTGAATTTCTCTGTGTCATTTAGCATTCGCTTGTGTGTGTGTGTGTGCGTGTGTGTGTGTGTACTTGTGGCCTAAGCTAAGCGTACTCAGCACTTGGTTTAGCCCCCACACTCAGCCATAGACATACTCCTCTGTCAACAGCCCGCATAATTCAGCGATAACTGCCTGACAGAGACACATTCTCAGCTTCAGTGTGTGTCTGTGTGTGTGTGTGTGTGCTTGTGTTTGTGTACGTGTGTGGCTTGCATTTTGTGGTCTTGAGCTCTGTGTTTGCCTATGACTCGTAACTCATCTCGCATTAAACTAAGGACAGCCCATCAAATTAACTTGAATTTAAATAGATTTCGAGCTGAACTCTAGCCACTCACACACGCAAACTCTGCTCCTGTTGGCTAGTGTAAATTGCGGAATGTCGAGCAGCGATTCGACTTCATTTACCATTCAAAGTTCGGGCATTAACATTGACGACTTCCTCGACTGCAGCCAATCACCTAAAAGTGTGCAATAAAAGGCGCGCTAGCAACACGCATAAAAATTTAATTTCTAATAATAATATTTTATTATGGCCTCTCATGCAGCAGCAGCACCAACACAAACAGCACCAGCAGGAGCAGCAGGAGCAGCAGTGAAACCAATTAGAGCAGCAAGCAGCACACAAAATGCATAAACGATTTTAATGTTCAATTTTGGTAGAGTTTACTATACAGTGGGCGTTAGCCGCTGTGGGCGTGGCAACGAAGGCAGTTGCTGCTGCTCCTGTTGCTGCTGCTGCTACTGCTGCTGCTACTGCTGCTGGTGCTGTAGTTGTATCCTGTGTCCCTTTGCGCTCGGCAGCCCGAATTCAATTTGCCCGCTTGGCCGCTTGCTGTTGCCTCATAATTAAATCTTGGCTAGCTGCATGTCCCAGTCATTAAAGTAATATGTTTTTGCCTAATTACGCATCACACACACACACACACACACACAAACGCACCCACACCTACACACTTGTTCATAACTCAATTGCCGGCGCTCCATGTAGTGCAGTGTATACTGTTTTTATTCTACTTTTTTTTTTTGCTTTATTTTTTTGCATATCTAACGAGCGCCGTTGGCTTTTTGGCTGTCCTTTGTGACATGAGGTGTTGCAAAAATGGAAA